AATATTTAATTGTACTTGAAATCTACGTTTTAAAATATTTATTCAACCAGTTAATTATATTCAAAATATACACTTGAATTATAATATTATATTAAATTGACTTAATCCATATGCACTTAAATAATAAACTGCACCGCATTATCGAGTGATACATGTTATATTTTTATCGTTTATTTTTTTCTCTACTAGAAAATTACTTCTTAAAATTCATCAACCTACCTCTCGACGATAACAACCAATATATTCCATACAACCATAACGTATTATTTACTATTATATAACAGTAATGTTATTGTCGTTTTCCAAAGTATACGCACTTTTAAGTAAAATTTAAAATTATTATATTATATCATAAACCATTATACCTGTCATAAAGCATATTATAATATTATTATGTATGTATACCAAACTCTATCTTTACTTTTACCATTTTGTTGATCATTTATCATGTATTATTATCTAGTCAAATATATTTTATAGTGTACCACGACTTATTGCCCATTGCATATTTTTATTGTATCTGCGTATTCATTTTTGGTTATACATTTTTTTTTTTTTTATTGTTATGGTCAAAATATAATTCTTATCAATACCTGACAATGGTTGCGTATACTTGTGAGACGAATTAAGTACAAATTCGTCGTCTGCGCACGTTTACCATATAGTTAAATCATTAAAATACCCATTATTATTACCACTTTAATGGTAACTGTTTAACCATTAATAATTACAATCTACTTTATCCTGCAGGTTTCGCGATAATGTCCCCCAATCGTCTAAATAATAATTATAACTACTATTACCGAGTGTTTCTTTGGAAATAATCTAATAATTATTATAATAACTTAATTATTTAAAAAATATATATAAAAATATTATTATAGTAGGTACACTCTCGTCTGTACTTATTAACTCTTAACTTATATAAAGATTTATTATAATAAAGTAGTTGATATATAATATTATTGTTAGCATACTTTTAATCGATATATTATTGGATTTTACTTAAAATATTATTAAAGTTTTCACCGTCAATATCATATAAGCACATACACACAAATCATAATATTATATTATTGTAATACTTATATTATGTCTTAATTATCGGTATCAACATTGTTCTAGTTATTGTATTCACTTAATATCATTACTATGTTATCATTGATTATACAATATCCAAATGAGCAAAAAATAAAACAGATAAGCGGTGACATTATCAAAAAGGGCGACCAATTTTATGCGGTTTTCCCGCCGTCAACAAGGGTACTTTCATCAAAGTTAATGGACAGGCGGTTCGTACCTCTGCCGATGACGGGAATTCCCAATAAAATCGGCTGCCATTCTTGTGTATAGAACCGCTCATCTGTACGTTTTAAAATCAACGGTATTATGTATAATACAATCATATCAACTATAATAATCATTATTGTAATTACACGCAGTATACTTAATCTGAATCAAATAATGTAATATTAACCTATCAACTTAAAAATGTTTAATAAAAAAATCTCATTTACAAATCTTCAATATATTCTGTTATTATTATTCTATTTCCATTCCTATAGTCCGCTGCTTAGGCATGAAATACATTTCAGGACACGAAGCCATGTTGAAAATTAACGTTTAAACGGTTTCTAATAACCGGGTAAGTAATAATTATTATCCGGGAAAAAGGAATAATATCATTCCCAAAAGGTGTGTTCAGCCCCCTGAAAAATGTCTTCAAGCACTTCGAAAAACTAGAACTTCCAAAAATTTACTTTTCGTTCGAGTGACAAACGAAAAAGTATACAACTACTTTTTGATTTTTGTATTATGCATTGTTTAATAAATTGACTTAACAATTAACTGTATATAAATTATCAAGAGGATTGAAAGTTGTCTGTTTTTTGATGTTTTAAACCAAAAAGCCTGACAAAACTTCGACTACTTAGGATGGTTAATGGCACTACTTCACTGGAAGTAGAACTCCACACATGTTTTGTATATATTATATATATATATATTACTCGTATGTATGTATTAAATATTAATACTCCTTTGGTTTATACTTATAACGATTTTTTTTATCGTTTAAATAAAAATGCCCTTAGACAATTAAAAAAACTTAGGTGGTCTGATTTCAATTCTCTTAACTGATGTGACTTTTTTGGCTATCACTTTACTAGGTCATGTGGGAAACGGATTGTTTGCTTTTTCTATGTAAAAAATTGTTTTTCAATATTAAACAAAATATGCAATTTTCAAGTACAACTAAAACTTTGGAACAAGAGGTGTCCGACGATTTATGACTTCATATTTGTAATCAACGTAAGAAACACTATTTTATGACAAAAATAAATGGTGTCCGGTAATTTGTTTCAACAATTTTTTTAATTTTAATTATTTAATTACAAGAAACTGAATTTTTTAAATAAAAATTGGTTTTCTACAAAACCTAGAAAAGGAATCATAAAATTCGATATTTTCACAGAATTGAAATCGGACTATCCTAAATAAATGTAATTTTATCAGGTTTTTAGGTCTAAACTCTAAAATACTACTAAAATGCCGCTTGCTCGTTGAACAAATTGTACTAGATAAAAATATTACCTCGAAAGTTATAAAAATTAATTTGTAAATAAATTGACACGGTCAAAATGTATTAAAACCCATTTTTTCTTAAATATTTCCTATATATTAAATTCCTTAAAACCCGTTCGCTTTCAATCCTTTTGAGCCCGTATCATGTAATAAGCAAACTATACCTACCGCTGGCAAGTCTGCAGATAAAAAAATAAAAATTCTAAAGCTAAAAAAAACCGACTTACCTATTATTATTAATATTATTATACAGGTAGATACACAATATTCCACTAAAAAACACAAATTTACAATAGTTATTAATTATCAGCTTTATTACAAGAAGAGCCACAACCGTGGTCCATGTCTTGTACGCGGTCAGCTGTTGTTTACACGCCAAAAGTCGGCATATACCCAGGTTATTTAATTGGTAATCGGCCATGTTTTACATAATAATATTGTCTACTAGGATATTATATTACTATAAAACTACTACGGAAAAATGTATTAATACTAATTATTTTGATTGATTAAAAAAACGGCTTTTTTAACCCAAGACAGCACTGTGATCCGACGTCGGCTGTGATCAGGCAAGTGTTTTGTTTTTGTTTATGGCCTGGCAGGTAAGATCGCTTTTTTAATCATTTATATTAACATACAGTTTCTAGATGTACAATCCATACCCGCGCAATCTTTAGTCATTAGGTATGCTCAGACGTCAAGTCTCGCGGTAGTCAACAAAAATATCTTGGTACTGTTAGTATTACAAAAAACTATATATTTTTTTTTACCGTAAACCGTTGGAATAATATATATTTACTATAATTTAATTATGTAAGTATCGGCTACGGGTAATAATGATAAGAAAAGCGCATAGCAGTATATGAAATCGAGTGCTGTGCATCCATATGTGTTGCCTAAACCGAACGCCGCGCTTTTTTTTTGCTATCAAATGTCTATTAACGCCGCCTTCAATGCCCAATTTTATAATATACAATTTGTTTTATAATAGATTCAATTTTCAGGAATTTGGGAAAAACATGTAAGCAATAATTTGTGTATCCAAAAAAAAAAAAATATGACGCAAATAACATCTGGTAAATAGCAATTACTTCAATACCTACGCATATGTAAACAATATAACCAAGCTTAAAACACAAAATTACACAAACATATTTATTAAATTATCACGCTGAATCCGAATTTGGCCTCAAAATTATTCTATAGACTTTTTTAAATCGTCTTTTAAGTAGTCAAAAACAAAGTTATTTTTATGTTCAAAATAAACTGCAATCAATTCTAAATTATTTCCAAGTTCAAAAATATAATTATTTTTTGTCAAATCTGTTAGTGGAAATGTTTTTTTTTAAAAATTACTTAAAAACGAAATCCAAGAAAATATACATTGCAATTTTGAATTCGAACAATTGAAAAGTTTGGCAAAAGGAAAGTAATTATGTTAAAATGAAAAAAAAAATTAAAATGCATATACACTTTTGTTTGTTCGAGCTGTAAATTTGGAAAAAATGTTTTTTTTTGCCAAATAAAAAAATTCTTTGGTAATTTCACATAGTTTTTGTCCCTAAAAAATGTTACAGCCGCTAGAACTAACAATGAATTTTTTACTTAAGAGCTCGAACAACAATGTGCCCCTTCAAATGTCTACTTATTTGAAAGGGATTCGCATAATTTCATATTTTTTTCCAGCCATTAGCTATGCGAGATAATAAAAACAAAAATGTATATACTATTAACTCCAGATACTAATAGATAATAACTCTAGAAGAAAAAAATCTGGAAAAAATTAGGAATTTTTTTTTGTTATTTTTTCTAACATGTTTTTCTTTTATTAAAAAAACTTAACTTCCACCAGACCCATAATAACAAACATCCTAATAAATAATATGTATATATTATACATATATATATTTTTAAAACATTTGTTTTGTGTTGGTTGTTTTTTTTTCATTTTAAAAATATGCATGAAACTACAATTTTTTAATACTTCAGTAATTTTTTTTTTTTTTTGGGAGGGGGGCGGAGGAATATTAAATTTTGAATGTTTTGTGTATCACATAGAGTAGTATAATATCTTATATATTAGTATCTTTACATATTTTTTACCCTAAATTGTTCATATTGTTTAAATTATTTTCACATAATAAATAATAATAACAATAATATTGTTTTTTGATATTTTGTTTTATCAATACGGAATATCGTGCGCTGTCTGCTTGTACAATCTGTGAAATAAAAATATAACTCGTCCGTTGTCCACCGACGGCGCTGGCGGTCATCCGCGCGGCGGCTGCGGTAGCGTAGGACGTAACCGCTCTGGCGGCCGTCGTCCCTCCTCCTCCTCCTCCTCCTCCTCCGACCATCGACCGTCGACGGTAGCAGCCGCTGCGGCCGCCGCTAGCGTTCTGGTCGCAGCTCGGTACATGTGATGATTACGGCCGCCAATCGCCGCCGTGTGTGTTTGTGCCGCCGTCGTAGTACGTCGTCCCTGATACGAATTATTCGAGTCGACGACAAACCGCAATTGATTCCGCCGCCGCCGCCGCTACAGCCGTCATCGTCGCAATTTCAACGTTTACCGGTTAAGTCGTAGCGTTTTTTTTTTTTTTTTACTAATTTTGTTGGCATTTTCGACTTGACGAACTGTACGTGTCACGGCACTCGATTGTGACAATACGTCCGAACGGTTAACGCGTTCTCGCTCGGCCTATTCGCGAACGCTGTCCGTTTTGTCCGCGTCCTCGTTCCAGTAACGATATTCCCGAAAACGCTCGGGCGTTCTGTCGCTGCCGCCGCCGCCGCCGCCGTCGCCGTGTACGCGTAAACAAAACCCGCCGGCCATAGGCGTTTTCGTTTTGGCGCCCACAATGTCCCGTCGTCCGACGTCCGCCGTCGTCGTCTGCGCGTCCCACCTTTCCGTTGTCCGTTGCGTCCGCCAAACGAACGCGCTCGGATTGCGTTAGGGCCGTTGGGTTCCGTTCGACAAAAACAAAACAATATTATCTGTTTGATTATTCCGCCGACGACAACTGTTCGGCGTTAACCGGTGTCGCATTCGCCCGCGTCAGAGCCGTTTTATACTATGAGCGATTTCGCGGAACGCGTCAAAGATAACAGAAACACTGCCGTGCTGAAACATCCGTACACAGGTGTAGGCGCCAAAAAATTGTTGCCGGACGCCTCGAAACACACCACCAAAGACCCGCCCTCCAAAGTGAGTAGAAAACCTTTTTTTGTATTCCGTTGTTTGTTGACCATTAATAATTAGCATACTATTGGGACTTGACGTGCCTTTCGGTAAGTGTGTACCGATATAAGATTAACCAACGACCTGTTTGGGCGTTGTCTTTCCTCTACCGCACCAACAACTAGTTACATCAACGCTACGTTCGTCCAGGCGATAGTAACAATGATTTTATTGTAACTCGCTTCCTGGTCGTCACCAAATGGAATATGTCGTAACTCGCTGTTGTCGATTAGCGTCTTGTTGTCGTTGATGTTAACGATTGGGCTCTAAAGCTTTGATGGGATTTGCGTTGGAAGGGTTTGTTTCGTTTCTTTAAGGTGTTGTTGCCATAACCATGGATAGTGTGTAGTCTAAAAACATTTGTATGATCTTTGTATTTCAAACAAATCCCTTTTTTTTTTTCTATGTATTTTCTACTGGTTTCGAGATAACGTTTTATTTGTGTTTTGTAATGACATGTTGAAATCAATTATTAAATATAAAAAAAAACCATCCATAATTTGTGCGTCAATTAATTAATGATTTTTTTTTTTCAACTACATCTTCCTACTTGGTTTACTGCCCTGTTTATATCGTGATAAAGTTTTATAATATTATGTTGTTGTTTTCTATTTTTTTCAAAACTCTGTCATGAAAAAAGCAATAGAGGTGCTTATGACTATTACCAATATTATCTATCTACGATTGTAATTAATTACTCCCGTTAACAAATTTTTATAAACATATATTATTATATTACCTCCTAATCTATCCGTTGTGATAATCAAATTTTGTTTTCATAGAAAAAAATCTTATGATGAAACTAGGTATGTTATTGTCTGAGAAAAAAATTGCACGCCTGATAATAATCAAATTGTTATCAGGCACTCAAGGTTTTTCACGAAGACTTCAACTTAAAACTTGAAATTGTTATGTCTCGTTTTAGTGTCATTCGCCCTAAGTTTGTTGAATTTAATGTGTAGAATGATTGTGTTAAAATGGTTTTCTACTGTGACAAATTTTACTCATTCGTAATGTAGGTGCGTTTTCTTTGTAGTTACGCATAAAATGTATGTTGTGTATCATTTGATTTTTGCTGTATAAAACTGTCGAGCTAAAACAACATTTATGCTTGGATGTACACAGTGTACAAATATATTATTATTTTCTAAGTATAATTTTACAATTACAACTGTGTAAAAAGTATGGTTTTGTTTAAATTTTGCAGTTGACCTACTAAGAAATTGGCTCTGTTAATCATATCATTATCGTTTTCATTGTTGTGTATTTGATCGATTTTTTGGTTTCACAGGGGTTCAGACGGTGTAATTCGCCGTCGCGTGTATTTGCGGCAGTGGCAGCAGCAGCAGCGGAAGCAGTACAGTTGTGCAACGCGCCGTCATCGAATTCAAAATCGTCCAGTGAGTATACTGATTATAGTTTAACCAGAATGTGTGCTAATTTTGTTAACGTTTTACATTACAGATGTACCAAAACTAGCGCTACGAGACCGTATAAGCGATGAAGTCAGCATTTACCCTGTTCTCCTGCAACAGAACAAGTCACTGAGCGCATCACAGGTACGTGTGTGTGATTGCATTATTGCAACAAAATTAAACAACAACATATTGTATATGTTATAATAATTTAATTACTATCCGAATTATTTATGCATAGCAAATTCATCAAGAAACCATCTCATGATGGCAACATTAGGCTTTCAAGGCCTGTTGGGCTATAAAAAAAAAATATATATATATATATATATAGATATATGTATGGATAGTAATTATTATTTAATGTAGACAAGCTGTGTGTATATTGAAATACCCGCTTAACTTTTTTTTCTAATGCTTCAACACGGACAATATAATAACAACGATATATCGCTGTGGTTATTGCTTTTGTGGACATTTTCCACAGACATTTCTGTTGCCCATATCTGTACGATGTTATTGTTTTGTTTTACAGTCGCATAGAAAAGGTGAAAACCTCATGAAAACTATAGGACTGGTACCAGCCCGATCACCGATGGCGGCTCAATCACATAGTCGTATAATCGCGTCCAACTCGCAACGCACGATCATGGAATCTCAGAGCACTCCACCTCCACTGATCCTTTCATCGGCGCCACACGTCATCCATACGACCACCGAAATAATTTCTTCAAAGGTAATTGGAACGTTTTAACAATTACTATTTCATGGCAATGTGTAAAATATGTTGTGCCAATTCAAGGTGGTCGTTTTGTACACAAAAAAAATAGTAATAATTAAGCGAACATCACATTTTCAACAATCATTTCTTCTTCTATTGTACTATTCTATGATACCAATATGTACTGTTATTAATAGTAAAAATATGTTTTTTTTTCAGGTTGCGCCCGTGTATCCTGTGGCTCCACATTTGTCGGTGATCAATAAGACGAGTAAGTTTATGGTCGTCCACAAACTTATTTTTGCCTTTACAAATACTCGTACGTCTCGGTCCAAAAAACCTACCATTTGTACCATCTTCAAAATCCTTAATGTTTCAATCTATACTTCATTATCGTCGTAGGGTTGTTTTGTAACAAAGACTCAACACGTTAGTGATGTTATTTTTTCCGCTTTCATACAGGTCTATTGTTATCCACACTACTACCTACGTATTCAGTGTTGTGTACATGGTATAGATAAGTGACTAATTTATGTGTATAAATTGAACGTTTCAAAGTATAGGCTGACGACTTTGAATAACACAATGACCAAGCCGTTTAGTATTTTTAATACAAGCTGGAGTTCACCGTAATATAATTTTAGTTATTAATTACAATTTTGAAACTATATGTAACAATAATGTTGAAATAAACGCCTTAAACTCTGTAAAAATAAAAAAAGTTAATATCGTATAAACAAACAATTGGTGGCGTACTTCAAAGGTCGACGGCCAAAGCAGTCGAGCTCTGATTTTTTTTTGGTAAAAAATAGTAATAAAATAAGTATAAATATTTCTCCGCGTCGATATAATTGTCATCCCATACAAAAGTGAAGACGTGCTTTATATAAATACGCCTTGGCAAACTGTTGCAGAGTTAAATGGCAAATTACTTTGCAGAAATAAAGCACCGTGCAGAATAATACATTGTGGGTAACTAGTAATTAAATATATATATATATTTTTTTATGTACAATTATTGTTCTTAAAACATGATTGTAAATAATCATTGCCCCCAACTGAATGTAAATTAAAGAGTTGTCAAACAGAGTTAAAACAGTAATAATGGAGTAAAATATTGTAACGGCTATACATTATTAGTTTTTTTTTTCACTCTACCGCCTTAACAATTTTCAAATTTTTGGATTTTTTTTTAGGAACTTACAATAGTAAAGTGGCGGTATCTAAGGCACCGTACACCGGTGCTCGACGCCAGGCCGTTGTGTCCGGTGTGGTACCGGTTTATGCTCAGAGTGATTTCGCTTATTATCCTCCCAAAAGTTATCGCCAAAAAACAATCACTAGTAAACCAACAGTTGTTGTTCATGGTAATGAATTATTATTCTAGTACAGTAGAATAATAATAATAATATTGTTGTAGCTGTAATGATAGTTAGTGGCATTGTACGCTTTTTTCGTTGTCCTCGCCGCTGTTGTAATCTATTATAATAATTCCAAAATTTATTTGTAGCGTTTATTATTATTATTATTTTTTTTTTTTGTCGATTGGAGTACAAATAAATATTTGGTTAAATTAGAAAAAAATCATTTTTAATCCAACTATTTAGTTTCCAATAAATAAAACTCGCACGATTGTATTCAATTATATTACTTGCACATCGTTGTACTGAACCAAATCCAATTTGAAATCAACACAGCCACTGTCATTAATGATGTACGATTAGCTACTCTCTGCATGTGTGTTACTCATCGTGTAAGCTAAACGGGCCTTGAAGGTCTAACGCTGCCATCACAAGATGGTTTCTAAAAGAATTCGCTATCCGGAATTGCATGCGCAGTACTACGATTTAAGTATATTCATAGCCATGCGCTAAGCTACTATGAATACAATTTTATTTAAAGATTTATTGTTTTTTATTCGATTTATTATTATTATAAAGATTTACTGACTTGTACAATAGTAAAACGCTTGTATTAGTAAATGCATTTTATAATGACCCCTTACCTCAAAACTTTGATTGTTTGTTATTATGCAATGTGTTTCAGATTTTAATAATTTTTTTCTTATCATAAAGGTTCCGCTCCGGGCTGCAGCGATGATTCAAACGTCACCGTGACCAGTGGTAACCAGCATTTATTCAAACCAATCATATCGCCAAGACCTAGCATACTGAGGAAACGCGACGCCGACGGGTAAGCAAACAGAGTTGTATAACAAATTACCCATTTTTAAACATATATTGAATTGTAATTAAATGAATTGTAATTGTAAAGTGATTAGAACTTCGAGGAAGGTTGCAACAATTATAATAAGCTTTTATTCATACACATCTGTGTGTGGTTTATTAAAAATATAAATTTACTTGAATAATACTAAAATAATAAATAAAGTATTAATTTCATCAGCTGAACTATACTCCTAAAATTACAGTTTTTAGTACATTTTTGTTTCAACAAATTTAACTAACAAATAGGTCATCCGTCTTTCCTAATGGTATTTTTCCATTGTTAGGTACTAATAGGTGAGTCGACGGCATAATGAAAATATTTTTCCGATACCTGGTAACCGTTGATCCACTTTGACATAACAATCTAGAAATGTATTACGGGTCAAAGTGTAAATTTGACTAGAGAAAATGTTGCATATAGTAAAGCCTTACTTTAGATCTACCTTTGTTCTAAGTTTTAGATCTTAACTCCTAAAACTTAACTCAAATAAGTTGATTTCTAGGGGAAAGAGTTAACAATAGTTTTTTGGCTTGTTAGTAAATATTATTATATATTAAATTTTATATAATTTTCTAAAAAAATTTGGAACTAATTTAAAAAATAACAATTTTTTATATCATCATATTATTGTATAGGTATTATTACTGCAATGTAATTTGCTTTTGATCTTTCTAATGTTACATGTTTTCTAATGTTTCTATGTTACATGTTTCATCATAACACTCACATGATTGTTGTTCTGTTTTTTAGAGTTTTGAAAGCTCAAAAAAATCTTATACCGATTCTCACTAAAACTGACAACGAAGAATGTCAGATCGCTGAAGAAGCGCTGCCCAGCCGAAACGGTTATGGTGAGACGACCATCTGTCAGCTGCCGTCGCCGTGTGTCGAAGTGCCCATTCTGGTTCCTCAAGTGACCGAGGCTGTATTACCTCAAATCGCTACATTGCAAAGAGTGCATTCGCACATGATGATCGATATAAGCCCACGCAAAAAGCCTCGTAAACAACTGTTGTAAGTCACTGTTGTAGTTAAGCATAATACCTATAGCGTTTACTAAAAGGGAAACTAAACCTTATTGTTGTAAACGCCGTAGTACGGTTTTGTTAAGTGACAAATAATCCAAAACCGCTGTATCGTTAACAACACACCTTTGTCTCTACTGCAGGCCGGTCAACCAAGACAGTCCGTTCAAAATTGTCAGCGACGATATGGAATACGTGGTCGACAAAACCGCGGCGAACAAACTGGAGAAAATCGAAGAGTATACCGAGGAAGACTTGCCAAACGACGACTGTGCCGACGGCGATGCGGAAGACGAACTGGAAGACGAACTCGACGACATGGACGTGGACGACGACTGTCCAGCCGACGACGATTACGATGAGGACGAAGAAGACTACGGAAACGATTTTGGCGATGCTGGTGTGTATTGTTGTTATGCAGTATTGCAATTATTTTACATAGCAGTAGAAAGTATATGGCAGTATGGGGTAGATTTGAATGTGTGGCCACGAGGGGAAGATTTTAATTTAATTTAATTGGTATTTTTGTGTATTATGATTACACAACACAATACATTAAATTGTGTGACCTAATTAATTTTTGTTTTTTCCCCGATATCGATAACACAGCAAGCAAGCAATTCTATCACAAAATATGTGCTCCGCATTCAAATCTACATTGTATCATATTATCTAAATATGATTGTGTATTACGATCGATATTATTGTGTTGTTTTGTAAATATTATAATTTTACTATGGTTTTGTTTTTTTATTATTATTTGTATTGTTTTATTATTATTATTATTATTTGCTTTTAACGTTGTGGTTTTTGTATTTTTCAAAATTGTTAATCGTTTTTTTAATTTAGACTCGTTTCCAGGGTTTGATTTTTCCAAAGCTGAAAAATCATACTTTGAAGACGGGAAAATATCGACCGACCTGAGCGACGCCAGCTCCAACTGTAACCCGATGAACAAACGGCCTACGCTTTTGGGCCGAATAAAAAACACTTGGCGCGGTCAGTCGCAACATTTCCAAAAGTGAGAGACTGTTATAAACATTAATTGTTGCCTTTCGCAGCATCAAAAGCTATAACTGAATCGTAACTATAATGTACTATCGGTGGTTGATTTCAGGCACAGCGATTTCAAAGTGAAAGAAAACAAAAAACAATTGGCCGAAATGCAACAAGCCAAAAAGTGGCAACCCGAAAGTCGATCCGGATGGAAAGTTCAACGTGTGTTGAAACAATTTGAGGAATTGGTGAGTTTTTACAGAGGTTATGTACAATTCTGGGGTGTACCTACTTGAGTTGGGCAAACTTGCAAGCATCGCTGTTGAAAACCGTGTATTGATTTTATAGTCATAGGTTTCGTTTAGGGCATTTTTGATAGTAACAGATTTTTGGCGAATAGGTTAAATCCTTTTGGCTCAGAGGTCTAATGCAATCTAGTGTAAAACACTAGTATACAGGTTAGAAATAAAATCAGGATAAAATAAATGTTTAAGTTATTAAAGAAGGCCAAAACAACACCATGTTTGCGGTTTCAATATTTTATGTGTAATTAACACTAAAAACTTGCTATGGAGGACAAGTTATATATTATCCGAATCATGTTTAGACGATAAACTTTGTTTCATTTATATTTTACTTTACGGTATTTTAACGATGATGTTGGTAATGCTACACAGATAGTTTGGTCACTAGATTATAAAAAAATGTTATTTTTGAAAAATAATAATACATATATTATACTTTCAGATCGCAGCCGAAGACGGAAGTATTGAGTATTTGACTGGCTTTTTACAATTGATAGAACGTCATTATAGCGATCAAGACTATATAATCGAACTAATTAAAGTATGATATTATAATATGTTTATATAACAATACATTTTTATTATATACTATATTTATATTGTATTATTATTTGCTAAACCTACAAAACTTTTATTTTTATCAAAAGTGCTATTGATTTCTTTGAAGAAAAAAAAATCACTATTATTTATCAAACAAACAATGCAATTTCTAAATTTCACAGTTGACACCATTTGAACGGTGACAACAGATATAAAAATATTTAACAGTTTTGTTTGTGCTTAATGTTTTTTATAATACTACATAGTACATAACATGTTGTAAAATATTGTAATTTACGGTATTATACATCTTTAAACATCATACTCATATATTTTTTTGTTTTGTCATCTGTTCAGGACAATATCCAAAGGTGTAAGGTGACCAAAGATCAACTAGAAGAAATTACTCGTCAATTATCAAAAATATTCGAACACAAACCGGCCATCGACGACATTGCCGAAAAATACGGTCCCAAAGACCTTAAGAAAAAATGTGTTAAGATATTTATCAGAACGTAAACAGTATGTGTTTTAAGTTTTCATTGAATTTAACTTCATTTTTTTTCTTTTTTTTTTATATATATATAATTTTATATATACATAATATAATATATGTGTATGTATGTATATTTATATAAATAAATAAACATATATAAATGTATATAGATTATACATTTATATGTGTATATATGTAGTTATTTATATATTTATTAAAATTATATATGCCTTTTGTTTTTTTTTTTCGTTTTGTCTTAATTTATTTCTATAAAAAAAAAAGGTTTTTTTTTTATTTTTTATTCAACTGTTCTACTAGTGTACATAGTACATAACATGTTGTAAAATATTGTAATTTACGGTATTATACAGGAAAATTAATAATTAATTTTTTATCACTTCTATGTATCTTTTTTTATTTATTTTTTGCTAAATACTTGACGTAATATAATATTTTCAATGATATGAAATTATGTTCGACAATTTTTCTGTAGTGTTTTGTTCGACGAACCTATCGGATAAGTGTAACATAATAATAATTAAGCAAATTACTACTGATTTGTTATTTAAAATACAAATTGCTCAGGTCCAAATGGTTTGAAATTTGGTTTCTAAGTATCTAATAGGGAAAAATAATTTCATTATTTGTATTATTTATACTTTGTTAATTATCGAATGCCAAAATATTGTGTTAAGTATTATCGTAAAACTGAAGTGTTATATTCTGAAATATCCTTTCGGTAAAATTGTATTCGAGTATGTTTTAAATACTTTTTTTTTTTTAAATATCCATTATGAATGAGTATTGAATACTCTTTTTCAAATACTTCTTTTTTCTACGATTTAATGTTTTCTAAATGAACGATTGCAGCGCATTATTGAAAAAATATAATAAATAAGACAAAATTAATTGTTGGTTTATTTATGTTGAACGTTAACAACCCCTTTACACTCTTACCCGTTATTATTTAAGATAGTCGCATTGACAAAAGTTGTTTTTGTACGTTTTTCCTGTAAAATATTTAAAAACAACTAATTGTATGCCCTACTTCCAGACACCCAATCGATTATCGTTAAAGACTACTAAAGACATATCAAGGTGGATAATAAATGATATTTTGTTGTATTGAGCTTACACAATAATATATATTACTAAATGAAAACTGAAATTACTGTTTAGGTATGAAAATCAAATTATACATTATATATAAATTATATATATTTTTTTTACTAGCTAATTTAAAGTAAACAATAGATACGCCAGAAAATGACTTCTACAATAGAGAAACAACTTTAAAAGTTTTATAAATAAATAAATAGAAAAACTTAGTATTTTTTCATCTTACAATTATTTTAAGAGGGCGTCGCACCGCCCATTTTTAAGGAGTAAAGTATAGGCAATTTTTTACAAAATCTTAATTTAAAGGTTAAACTGTGATGTGTAATTATAGTTCAATAACTAGGACTCTATTTTGGTAGTTAATTTATTTTTTGGACTATCATAGCATCCTTGAAAGCGATTTAAAAATGTTTTTTCATCTCAACTTGTTTAAGCAGACTGAAAATAACTCGCTTAATTTTGGATTTAGAGTAAAAGCACCCATTATAAAATTAAAAGAAAACAGTATTTCGGAGTGCAAGACGATGCGTTTTTTTTCATTATTCTAAGTATAACGCTCAATACATAGTTTAGAAATAACGACTGATTTAACATTTTTTAATGACTGTAACTTTCCAAAAAATTAATTTTTTTTAAAAAAATACCCTCCAGAATATTGTTTTCTTTTAATTTTTTAATGGGTGCTTTTACTCTAAAACCAAAATTAAGCAAGTTAGTTTCAGTTTGCTTAAACATGTTTTTACCACTGAAAATCACCCGGGCGACGCCCTCTTAAGCATGTTACAAATGGCTACTAGATCAATTGTTATCAATATTGCCTAGCCTTTGCCCCTTAATAAATAGCGCTTTCCGTTCCCCTTAAAATGATTAGACACCGACCGATTCTAAGGAGTCGAGTATAGGCAACAATTTTTTCTAAGTACTTTCTGAACTGACAATTGATGTGTGAAACCACATAAGTGTGTTTCACTGTACCCTACTTGTATATTTCAAAGAACGGAAATCGATTAGGAATATAATAGCTTTTACAAATATTGGCTGTATGTTTCAACATTTAATTAAACTTATAGTTGTAAACTATTCTAATACAAATATTATATGCACATAAGTAAGACTTATGTTTTGTTAATTTCAAAAATATATTTAATTTCTATTAGACACAAATTGAATTCAAGTAAAACACTTAATGTCTGTCTGTAGTGTAAAGATTGCTTTTTAAATAATTACTTTATTTTTATATTTATTTACACTGTTTATTTAAGTTCAAACTTTCAATAAATCTATTAGAACAAAAGTTAGTTATTTAATTTTTGAATGAACTTGAATAAGCTAGTAAACATATTTTACCTTTTGCCCGATTTATATTCACAATAGCTGTGGCGGGCAAACGCGTTGGGCGAAATTCAATACAGTGTCGCCGCGATGTTCTATCGTTTGGTCGCGGTCAAACGTGTGGCCACACTGATGTGTCGTTTCGAATATGGCGGACAAGCCGTCGCCGCGTCTCGTGTACACAAATTACCGTTCGCAACCATTCGTTACACGCTTGCCAAATTCAAAAATGTCAGTCGGACATTGTATATGTTGTTGTTTCGTTGGCCACACTGGTGTGTAATTTCCAATATGGCGGGAGTCGGTCGCGTCCCCGCTTCTCGAGTGAAAACCGATCAATATACATTGGTAGGTCATTCGCGTTCAGTTGTATCGTTTCGACGTTGTGCGTTCACCACACTTTACCGGATATATTATTTTATTATATTAATTGTAATATAATATTCTATACTTGGTCCTTCGACGGGTTTAGTGTGTATCCATTTACAATATAGTAAATTCGTAATAGTGCTCCTCAGACATGCCAGGCGCGTTCATCCGTATGCGTCCCGACAGGGAAGCACCAAATCAAGAGATGTCTGCTAAGGAGCGCCTATTCATGATAAGTTGTTATATTTTAATAGGCCTGACAGGCCTTGCGATACGCATTGTTTACTTGTACATAAGGAGCAGGGGTGTTGCACTTCATCCAGAAAGTTAGATCACACAGTTACATTATCGTTTTCATACCTACTTTATATCTTCTACCTAAGCTTTAACAGGTATGCGGCCGCTCTGGCAACATACTAGACTCGTCCTCCTCAATCAACTCAATTCCACGGTGGTGAGTTCAAGGGAAATTCTCCTTTAAAAAAAAAAAATTACTTAAAACATGCGGTGTAATTTATGGTGTCTAATATTCCAGCATTATTCTCAGCGGTTCATCCTCTTCAACGTTACATTCAATATTGTTGTTTTCAATAAACATGCATGTTTTAATGTACGCCCTATCATTGCACAGTCTTGTAGCTCTGAAGACATACATCTGAAAGTTAACCATACAATAATATTGCAATCAATGGAAGCTTTTTGATATATCCAATTTTTAGTAGGTGTACTTTGCTATTTCAATATTATAAAGCACAAGTATTGTCTAATAATAATGGTTTTTCTTTTTGCTGCTGTATTTTAGATCGTTGCCTCCTGTTGTTCTCATCATGCCAGTGGTCTGCGAATCGATGCATAGCAGCTGTAGCTGTTTAAATCAACCGCTTGAAATTTGCCAGCAAAGTGTAACGCCTATAACCATTATGTCCTATATTATTAAATAGGCGTCGTGAATGGTTCTCAAATGCAATGATATTAGTTGGCAAAATCGTAGTTCCTACCAATAGAAGTTATATGATGTAAATTTTCATTAGAAACGATTGCTAAATAATGATTAATTAATACAGTTTTATTGTAAAAATAATTTAATTTCTCTTTTTCAAGATTATGTGGGAATAGATTTTTGACATTCCAATTAAAATTATTGTGTTTTCAAATCCTAATTGAATTTCTCAAATGTTTAAGTATTCACATTATTTGTTTTCTTAAGTAGACGAAAGAGTTATTCAAAAATCGACTTCCACAATTACTTGGAAAAAAATATAAAATATTAATAGATCAAATATTTTTACTTAACTAAAATCTGATCATTCTAAATAGGCGTATTTTTTTCCAGGCCTTTAGGTCTTTATTGATTTCTTGTAAGAACAAAATGGCTTTGACTTGTAGAAAAAAATTGTATACGTTTAAATTTATACCCCGACATAAATATTGCCTATATAAAACCCCTTAAAACCCGTCCGCAATAGTTACTACATACTTTTGATCAATTATTGACTTAATCGCAAATTGTTTAAAAGAAGCTGACTTTGTTTTATTATTATTATTGTAAAACCCGAACAAAATTTTGTTTATACAATAGAATATAACACTTACTATCTGTTGGTAACAAAATATGTCATACTTAACAAGTTTTATCATTTGTACATCACTTTTTAACAAATTAAAATTAAAAGTTTTATATACATATAAATAAGTTTCTCCCATTGTATTTTATTTTGTGTTGTAAGAAAGAAAAATCATATAATGTCGTTAATGTTTTTTTTTGTGTGATGTAAAAAATACTTATTTAAAATGTTTCAAAATTACATTTTTTACTTGCGACATTTATATAAATGATTCAATCGTATTAGAGTTTACATTCAAATGGAAAGATATCGACCCTTACAAAAGTGATCATGTATTGTAATAGTTTAGTTATCGCTGTTTCCCCTATCATTGAATAGTCATTAATTAATGAAATATTATATTATATTGTAATAAAAAATAATATAAATATTATATACCTACTATGTACATCCCTACAAAGTTATTTAATCATTGTTTTAATAATTATTATTAATAAATATTAACCTATTAACTTAAAATCCGTCTAAGTGGGTTTTTGTTTTATACCGCTCTAGACCATTTAATTTTTAATCAACATTTTTGCTTCTCAGCCACTCCTGTACTACTGCTTTTCGGCAATTACAATAGTGTTCATATTATTATTAATCGTTTAATAAATAATAACTGTATAGTAAACTTATTGCAGTGCTGAAATTCTACTTTATTAGAATATTTTTGAATATTTGATTAACTTTTTTTTGCAACTACCTAAAATTCTTAGTAAAAATCTACATTATAAAATTGTAATTTTCTTAATTATTACTTAATTATAACTCTAAATAGTTACAAACAAATTAATATTCATTATTATGTATTATAAAGTACCCATAAGGTAATATATACAAATGTTTATGTATCACATATTATATGATGTTTGTACAATAAAATACATCTAGTGTACTATACCTACCTAGTATAGCTAATTTTATTCTATTCTATTTAGATTATTGTATTAAGGTGATTGAAAGCTGTCTGTTTTTTTTACCTTTTAGGCCAAAAAGCTAAACAAAATGTCGACTACTTTTAGGTTTAAAATACCACCTAAACAGCGTTTACTCATTGAAGAAAATGTACAAGTTAAAAATAAAACTAAACATATTCAAATTTCTCTGTTAAAAAATTGCCATAATCGAAATTTGTTAAAACCCCTTTTTCCCCCATAAATATTGTCTATATAAAACCCCTTAAAACCAGTCCGCTTTCAATCCCTTTAATACAATGTAGTAAGCATACTTACTATTTTATTGTACTAACAAAATAAAATAGAATATTAGAATAAGTACAAAATATTTAGACCGTAACAAAAATTAAAAAATGTTGTTTGATTATAACTCGAGATAATGTAATTGAGTAATACAATTTAATCATGATATAAACTTTAAAGTGTAAATTAATGATAATATATTGGACAGGATAAGTTTAATTAATTTATTTTTTAGATTTGGAATTTCTTTCAAAACTGTAGCAGTATGTACAAATAATAAAATAAATATTTTAAATAGCTGTGTATAGTTAAATTAGTAAAATATTTATACTTATTGGTCCTATCCTGATATAAAAGTTAAACAAATAGAAAAGCTAAAGCAAATTCTTTGTAAATAATAAACTAGTTAAATGTAACAATTGTAGGTAGTCATCACACTAATTCAAATCGATTCATAAAAGTAAAGATATTATCAGTTTCTTTTAAAAAAAAATGTTACCACCTTCATAAAGTTGTAATCTATGGTAAAAAATAAAAACTTTATGTCTTGTGGGATTGAATTATTTATTTGCCATTTTTGTATCAACCGCGACAAAGTTAATTAGTATTTTAGCATTCTAATCTGTGATTTTAATTTGTCATAGAATCAACAATAATATTGTAAGTTCCTCAAGTATATGATATCTTGTAAGTAAAAATCATATTATTACTACTCACAGATAATTTAGAAGTACGTTATAATTTGGATGAAAATACTGAAAAATCAATCATTTTCTAAATTAAATTTCAGATATGAATAAACATTATGGCCATGTCTTGTCTCAAAGTTTGTTTTGGAGTTCTGTTTTTCATAATCACGATGACCGTTATTTCGAGCCATCCGTGCAGTACCGTAATATTTGATGACGATAACGAGTACTGTCGCATAAACAACTACAACAAAAACATTAATTTTTATAAACCGCCTAAAGAGCCAATTGTAGAATTTTGATTTATGTCAAAATGGTAAATTTGACTTTAACATATTTCCATTCGTACAATCTTATAAAATATGTTTTTTTTTTATTAAAATAATAATAATATAAATGTAAAAGTTTGTGAAAACTTGCAATTGTCATTAAATTAAATGTCTTTCAAATCAAAAGATATCTACGCTTATGTATAATGTTCATTAGCCAGTACTGGTTCTAAAATTGATCGTTACAGACACCAAATTGAATTTCAATTTTAAAACAATAAGTATCACTGTCCACAGATGTGTGCTAATAATAATACTAGTTGAAAACAGTTTAAAATAATATTATTGACTAATTTATACATTATAATATCTACAACTTAGGTACAATTTAATGTATGTGTGACGAGACCAACAAAATAAACCAGTTTCTACCCCTTAAAAACCACACTCATCTGAAAAATCCTAATAGGACCATTTTTTTTAGCATATTCAATACTAGTAATTACATATTTTGTTCTAAAGCCTAACGCTTGTTAAAAATAAAAAATAAAATTACATTCATGTCGTTTACCAATGTTATCATAGTAATTTTAAGCACTTCTCTTGGGGTTAAAAAAATCAAAGTAAAATCTTAGTAAAAGTTTTAATATTTTGTTTTGTGCTACTATTAAACAAACTTACTTAATTTCTCAACATATTGTCTTAGGTCGTATAATGAAAGATGAAGTCTCTAATCCTATTGAACCAACATATTTCCATCCTTTTAAATAACCCATTACAAACAGATTGATAACTAAAAATTGAAATAAACAGAATTGAAAAGATCACAAACGTTTTAAGATTTAAGTATTTAATGTGATTAGCCAACTGCCAAGTACCTACTTATCACTTTTCCATTGTCATTGCTTAAAAAACATTGTTATCAAAATTCGAACCACATTGATTTACAGTAAAGTTCAAACAATTTGAATAATTCATTTTATTTTAATACATTTCAACTTTGTCCTAACGTTTATAATGCACATCGATTATAGTTTTAAAATTTTGAACATTAAGTTATTTGATTATAAAGTTCTACAATCTAAATTTCTCAAATGTATGTAAAATTTAATGCGAAAACACCTTTTATGTTTTAATTTCAAAATATATAATATTCACAATTTTTTTATTATGTATAGACAAATACATATAAATAATTAAATAGGTATATAATATTATTTTATATTAATATTTTTAAGTTCTAGGCAAATTGACTACAGCTTTAACATCCCAACTAAAAATATCCAATCTATTGTGGTTTTTGTAAATAAGATGATGTCGGCACTTAATTCAACTTTCTTTGGTGATTTTTTAAGTATCTCTTATAGATGTAATGTGTAAGAATTTATACAATTGAAATATTGTATCTTATACATACTTAAACTGTACTAATAACAAATTTTTTAAATTTGTGTAAAAAGAAAATAATATATTACAAAAATTCAATTTATTTTCACATGTCAAAATCATAATTATTAATATAGGTATCCTATTTTTTCAAGTTAACGTAGTCATTTTCTTAGTAAGTATAAAGTAAAGTAAGTAAAAAAAAAGTACATAAAAGTATAAATTTTAGAAATACTAGTACATTATTTATTTTTAAAAGTAATACATATTTTTCAAATTACCATTTAAAACTAAATGGTTGTTATAAATAAATAAATATATAAAGCGAGCTGCTAATATTTTGTGATGCTGGTCGACACAAGCATACCACTAAATCGCATTATTGACATAAATATATAGGATTAAGTTCTATATTTAAAATTTAAAAAAAATAGTTAATTATTGTTAAACTTAGTTTGTTCACCATTAATGTTTACTTTCTACATTTCATAGCCCTATATGCTTTAAAATCGCCAATTTTTTTCCCTGTAGAATCATAGTTATAAGATAAAAAACAAGATTCGCACATATGGTTAACAGTGAGAGGGGTTCGTTTGTTTTCACTGATCATAACAATGCTGGCCATGCATTTATTGCAGTATATGCAATTTTTCAACCTATCTTTTGCTGTACAGACAATTCTTGGATAATTGATTTTTCCCAAACAATCGTTGGTTTGAGCAAAACTTATATCGTTAAATATAAACAGATGTTCGCATCGCCCTAAGTGTTGATAAATGTAAGGTTGTCCGATACATACTTCCAGATCCAAAAGTTGTGTTTCTAAAGACTTAACGTCTTCAATTGGTTTTCCATTTTCTTCTGCCCATTTTTTGATAGTGTCTGCATGTGCCCTGTTGATCCCTGGATACAATGAATCCACATATAAAGTATTGTTTATGTAGATTAATCCATGTTTTAAATCCGAGTTGTTTAAATACTCTAAAAAAAAATAAACAAAAATTAAAATATAAATACTACAATGATATATTAGACAAGTAAAACAATAATTGATCTGACAAAGCCACCAAAATATTATAATTTTTAAGCATGTAAATATACAATAGAAATTTGTTTACCAAAAGGTTTGTGAGTACTTTCACTTATGTCACCACTAATTTCACTGTCCTCATTTTCACATTTGATTGCTTGTTTGATATCCCGAAGAGTTTGAGTTTCATGAAATTGAATCACACTATTAAAACGTGGGATAACAGCTTCGTCTGGATTTTGATCGCTTGCCCAATGAAATGGATAGTATACTGAAATGGAAATTAATACTGTCTGGCCTGGAACTATAATGCCATGAGGAGAGAATTTCGGAAGAGGTGAATACATCCTTGTTCTCTTAGTTTGATATAAGTCACCTTTGGGTTTTTTTAGTGTTTCGAGATCACCATCATCAGTATCGTAAATAGGTAAAAGGCATTGTGCATTTAGGCAATCGGGGGAATCAAAAAAGTCTTGAAAATTTAATTTTTCCAGCTTGGCTTCACAAAGTTTAATTTCTTCCCGGAGACTTGCAATATCAGCATTTGGATTGATTGACTGAATTTTTGCAAATATCTTACGTTCAGTGACTTTGGACACTTTAATTGGAGGCATTTCATAAGCGTTTTCCGTCTTAAAACGTCTAATATTAATCGATTCCGAAAAATAACCACCGGACAATTCATTGCCGCACTCCATGAATATTTAACTTAAAAATTATAAGTTTATAACACAAAATATTATACAATATTAATAAATTTTATTGTTGGTTTAAATAATAATATGTGAAAATTACTTAATATTAGAAATATAAAAATAATAACAAACGCCAAACATGTAAACAATAAACACTACTGTCTCTGATAACAGCTGACAACAACAACTGTGATCCCTGGTAAGTAATTTAACCAAACAAGCGTTGACCGCGACTGCCGTTAGATACCGATGATGCTCGTTTTTTTTGGATTTTATGAATTTTTGCATGTTTCTTTTATTAAATTTTTATCCGTAAGCTTTACCAAATCAATTTGAAATGCATTTATAGTAATTGTTGTTTTTAAGAAATTAGAGCAATTTTTAGCAACCATACCACGGTTACCATACATTGGTATATTATTATTATCTATATCTGCGATGGTAATTGTTGATAACGATCATACGATGGTCGATGAAAAAAAAAAATGTATGAATAATAATTTTTGGGATATATTTTACGTTTGTAAATATTTTTTTAATAATCACAAAAATAGATATTTCAACACTATTACTAGTTAATTGTGTTTTAGGTTTGAACGGCGCAATAAGATATTTATTAAAAAAAACCTTACTATACACTGATAGCTCTAACAATGTATACATATCTTCTCGAATAATTGAAAATAAAATCTTCGTCTTTTGGGAAATAAAATATGTACGTATAATTGAATACTACACAATTAACTAACGTACGAAATAATAAAATGCTGCATTGTACACTGTTCATTTATTATTAAAAACTATTCATTGTAAAATTAATAAAACTCGAAAAATTTGAATTTTTTCTATTTATTGTAGATATAGGTAGTTTGTATTTAGATATCATATGACATTGAACATTCGTCATTTAAAATAATCAAAGGAAAAACATGTCATAATATTATAAACGACCAACTATCTAATTATTAAGCATTGATATAGATAAGTACTATCAGTGGCGTATTCATAATTTTCTTTTAGGGGTTGATGCAAAAAAAAAAGTGTTGTCACATAACCCCCTTGTATAAGTATTGGCCGGACAGAAAAAAAACTGTTTGTTTAAGTATATAGTTTGTTGTTTTCGAGTTTCAATGAGACAAAATGTATATTTACAAAAAGTACAATTTCAAAAGTTTGCTTTCCATTGCAACACAAGTGTAATATAGATCTCTATAAACGTTTAATTATTAAGTAGACGCCACACCGACCATTTTTAAGGAGTAAAGTATAGGCAATTTTTTTACAAAATCTTATCTTAAAGGTTAAACTGTGATGTGTACTATGAGTTCAGTAGTAATGAATCTTTTTTTAGTAGTTAAAATATTTTCCGGACTATCACAGCATCCTTGATGGCGATTTAAAAAAAAAATTCTGTTGAGTTTTACGCGGATTAATTTTTCTCAGGCTTCATAATAGTTAAGGAAAGAAATTCATACATATTATTAATGACTAAATTATCTGTGTTCCATCATCCGTATTTTTTCGATATACCTAATACACAACTAACGCTATATTATTTTAAAAAAAGTCCTTTCTTAATCAATTAATTATTCATTAACTGGTTGAAATATTTAAAAAAAGGCGGTGGTAGAACACAGACAATGTTGTTGTGTATATTATGTGAAAATTTGGATTCTTAGTTTTGATTGCAGCCTTTGTAAAATTAATCGGCGCAAGGCGGGTTTTTTTTAAGAAAATAACAGGTGTGTGGCGCCTCTTAAATACAATATTATATAATAAAATGTTAAATTTGGTGCGATATGTCGTCTAAAACTTCTAAGTTAACAGTAATATTTCTATAATTACAATATCATTTACAAAAAATAAAAACTGGGCTAGGTGATTTTGAACCCTGAACGACCCTTGTAAATACACCACTGGGTACTATGGCTTACGCTGACACGGATTTCCGTTGAACGATATAAGCTTAAAGTTAAAGGCATTGTATTAAGTATATTTTATAATGATATTGTGTTTTTTTGTATTTGTACTCACGTTATCTTCTAAGCCACTGATTTCTCGGTGTAGCAAGTAGCAACTCTATAGATCAGGAATCGTACCAAGAAGGTACTTTATTGGGCCAAACATTTAAAAAAAATTACCCTTCCCCTTCAAAATCGTATATATTATGTATTTTAGTCTGTGAACCTTTCTCACTTAATCACTTACGTTCAATACTTTCTTATTGTGCTGGTTTATACTGTGCTTGGGTTAATATTATGTACTGGTTTCAGGTTTGTATCATTTTAAACATAGTGATTAAGAGGGCGTCGCACCGCCCATTTTTAAGGCGTAAACTATAGGCAATTTTTTACAAAATCTTAATTTAAAGGTTAAACTGTGATGTGTAATTATTAGTTCAATAACTAGGACTCTATTTTGGTAGTTAATTTATTTTTTGGACTATCATAGCATCCTTGAAAGCGATTTAAAAATGTTTTTTTCATCTCAACTTGTTTAAGCAGACTGAAAATAACTCGCTTAATTTTGGATTTAGAGTAAAAGCACCCATTATAAAATTAAAAGAAAACAGTATTTCGGAGGGCAAGACGATGCGTTTTTTTCATTATTTTAAGTATAACGCTCAATACATAGTTTAGAAATAACGACTATTTTAACATTTTTAAATGACTGTAACTTTCCAAAATATTAATTTTTTTAAAAAAAACACCCTCCAGAATTTTGTTTTATTTTGTAATGGTGCTTTTACTCTAAAACCAAAACTAAGCAAATTATTTTCAGTTTGCTTAAACATGTTTTTACCACTGAAAATCACCGGTGCGACGCCCTCTTAATATAACAAACGTCTATAACGGACCACCGTGTCCGACCGTCAACTAAAAGGTGGGTTACCTGTACGGATCTTACCTGTACCGTTTGTGCAGGTAAGAAAATATGCATGCTGCTACCAGGATCCGATGAGACGAGCCGCCAGCGATTGGCGCCGTTGTGTAAGGTATGGGAAAAACAAGTAGGGACACCAGCCCGCGCGGTAGTAACTACTGGTGCTGCTGTTTGAAGTCATGAACTCCTGGTACTCGGTCACGCGAAACAAACACCCACATAGGTCCCACAATGGACACCCTGTAGCGGGCAAGCGTGAAGAAACAAGTAAATACAATGTAGTAGTTAGTACTAATAATATGAGGTTTTTTCCACATTCACATTTGTATATACAATTATAATCCAAATTTATAATATTTTCACATTATTGTTTTACACATAATTTTCGAACTACAATATTTTATATTAAAATAAAAAAAGTGATTGTCCACCGTTGTCCACCGACAATTAAAAAAATTGTTTTACACTTTCACACATTTGTTTAAAGAATAGAATAGCAGCTTTACTGTTGACCCCTTGACAAGACAATCAACAGATAGTCAAATGGTCAACAATATAGCTGCTATTCTATTCTTTAAACAAATGTGTGAAAGTGTAAAACAATTGTTTTATTTAAAACAATAATTCGACTATTTTGTACTTGGTTAGAAAATACAAATCTGAACAACTAGATAGCTGTCAAACAGAATTTAACAAATTCGGACTCTTGCAATTATATGTTAAATAAAACAAGATAGGAAAGTTATTTATAAGAAATTTGTTGAATATGTAAGGTACTCATCTCTGAGAAAAAAATTTAAATTTATAATTACACTAATTATTTTCCAAATAAGGTACTCAAACAAAAAATTAAATTAGGCTGATATTTTATAACATCACAAGATATATAAAAGATATAGCAAGAATCTACTTGGGTACTTATAGGATACTTATAGGTACTTATAGTTTTTAGGTAATTAATATAACTACAAAAGTCACACATCAATCACACCGTATACAAACATTTTTTGGTATTAAGTAAAAAAATGAATGAATATTTTTGTGTTTTTTTTCGCTAATTTTTTTTAATAAACTCTTAAGTTGTATCTTACGTATACCAATACTAATACAATAGTATAGCAACTCAATAAATTAGAAATCGTACATAAAAGGTATTTTATTGGGCTAAAAATTAAAAAAAGCCACCCCTTCCCCTTAAAAAAAAATATCTTTTTTTTTTCAATGCTATTTTATTTGATTGCATTTTGAACGAGTTTTTATTTAAATGCAATTTTGTTTTCTTAATGTTTTCGACATTGAAATTTCAATTTATTATTAATTTCAACAATGAAATCATAGCTATCATCAGTTATCTCTATAATTACTAATCCATTAATTTTGATCTTGGTCATAGATATACATTGTAACCAGATGACAAACTCCGTAAAATCGATTAACAAAAATTTGAAACCGACAGCCATTTGCTGGTGGTCCAAAAACGATAGTTAAATATCGATACTTTTGGTATTGACATGCTAGTTTCATAGTCATATCGATATCACTGTATACAAATATCGATAGCTCACTATGGTTTTCCTTCACCGTACATAAAGGCTATATACCTGCGAGTTGGGTAATAAAATAATGGATGTCCACCAAGCTTATCGCCTGAGAAAAATGTGATAACAATAATAGATCGCAACGTTATATATTTCAAAAATCAAAGTATAATTATTGTTACTAAGTATCAAAAACGTGCTGGGGCTTAAACGCGTTGTAATAAATCAACTGTGATTACTATTAGGTGTAATACAGTTATTATTATGACTGCATTTTAATTTTTATATTCATAGATGGACATAATAATAAATGGACTACCCGGTGTTCAGGTAGCCGATTGCGCTCTGTGTTCAACGTTTGAGCTATATTGTGTACTTTTTAAAAATAAATTTGACATTGTTTAAAAGTTGTATTTAATTTAAAAATCATTTATCACTTTTATATACTATAACATTTATCACTTGTATTTAGATCAACTTATGATCTCCCCACACGGAGAAGCGTAGCCGTTTATTATTTCCAAAGTGGCGGCCACCGGCGTGCGTTGATCGGCCAACACGGTTTTTTTCGTCGCGCCAATGGCCACCACATTGGAAAGCGACGCCTACGCTTTCCGTTACCAGACATGGTTATAAGATCGTGTTTTGGACCGTGGTTTGATTACAACAGCCGCGGTC